GGGAACTCGGAAAAGCCAAAGAGCACTGCAATGAGGAGAGAGCTCACGGGAAGAGCAAAAGAAGCTATCGCGGGGGATGGCAAAAAGAGACGTAGAGGGGGACAACCGATGAAGCTGGCATAAAGAGGACTAACAAGCTGTTCAATATCGGCAATAAAGGCAAGCAAAACGACGGGCCACATACCCACAAGCAACCGAGGTGGCAAGGGCACAAACAACAGCAGGAACAAGACAAAACAAAGGGATCCCCTCAGAGCGTTTTCTTCTTGAGGGAGCAGGCGTCGCCAGCTTCGCGGGCGCAAGGGCTGCCGGGCGCGCGCGCCGTCGCGTCCGACTTGGCCTTTGCATAGTCGAGCTTCATGGGCTTGTCGTAAAAGGGGAAGCCCTGCATCTGGCGGACCGCGCTCGAAGCGGCGGGCACGTCGCGGAAGACGACGAACGCCTGCCCTCGCATCTTGTTGCTCTTGAAGTGCACAATGTCGATGATCGGGCCAAAGGGCGCGAAGACGGCGTAGAGCGACTTCTTCATCTCCTCCTGGTTGACCTTCTCCGACAGGTTGTTGACGTACACCGTCTCCTTTGGCGCGTTGGCCGACGTGGCAGCCGGGGCGGCCATTGGTGCAGCGCAGCGCTGCGGCGAGGGCGCGCTGCGAAATAAAAGAAACCGAAAAACGCGGCTCTATCGGCGGTAATCTTTCGTAAGTTTTTTCTCACACCACGTGCCTCTACCCCGCCGTTCACTGCACGATTTCATCCTCAGTCACTTCCTTGCGCAGGAGGACGCCGTGATGGTCGAGTGGGGCGATGCTGAGCCCCACCGCGAGGCAACGTCTCCGTCGGCGACGGTGAGAACTCTGCTCGTGGAGGGCGACGCCTTGCAGCGCACCGCTGTCAAGGCGATGTGCGCCAAACGAGGCCATGTGGTGACGGCGGTGTCGGACGCGGCTGAGGCACTACAGGCGCTGGACGCGCGCCGCTTCGACCTCGTGCTGACTTCCTCCAACGATGGCGTCGGCCTGGTGCGCAAACTTCGCTCGGTTGAGGGGCGGCGGCTCTGCTGTGCAGTCATGTCGAGCGACGACGCGCTCGAGGAGGCGTCTTCCGAGGCGGGCGCCGACCTGTTTGTCCGCAAGCCGCTCCGTGTCGCCGACATCCCGCGGCTTGAAGAGGCCGTGCAGCGGCGGCGGCGCGAGCGCGATGCGCTGCTGGTGGAGCGGACGAGTGGAGACATGGAGGCGTCAGCGGTTCGGCTGCAGCGCGCGAGGCGCGGCTCGCTCGGCCGCGCCGAGGCGGCGCGGCTGAGGGCGGGCATCCAGGAGCAGATCGCCGCCCGCTCGCGCATCCCGGGCCACAACGCCCTCCACAACGCCTCTCTCTCTCCACAACGCCCTCCACAACGCCCTCCACAACGCGGAGGTAGGCCACCTCCACAACGCCCTCTTCGAGCTGGGGCGCGGGACGGGCGGCGGCGACTGCCTCAAGCTCGCCGCGGCGGGCGAGGTGCAGCGCAGCTCTTCAGAGGAGGCTCCGCGCAGGGCGAGCGGCAAGCGGTGGTCCGTCTTCATCTCGCACTACAAGGCGGAGGCGGCGATGGAGGCGCGCTGGCTGCAGGGCGAGCTGCAGGCCTCGTTCTCTCCCTCCTTCGCCGGCGTACCCACGACACGTCCCCGACGCGTTCACGACGCGCCCACAGGAGCGGCTCGGTGGCAAGGCCTATTCACACCTGTCTATTCACACCTGTCTCGCAGGAGCGGCTCGGTGGCAAGGCCTTCCTCGACAGCGACGACCTGCGCGACCTGCGCGAGCTGCAAGAGTCTGTCCGAGACTCAGAGGTGTTGGTTGTGCTGCAGAGCGCGTCGGTGGGCTCGTGCGGCGGTTTGCGCGGCGGCAAACACCGCGAGCGCCTCTTCACAGCTGGAAGTGTGAACAGGTGCTGCGACGGCCGTACGTGCTGCTCGAGCTCTATACGGCGGTCCAGGCGAATATGCGTCTCCCCCTCCCTCCCTCCCTCTCCCCCTCCCTCCCTCCCTCCCTCCCTGCCGCTCTCTCTTTCTCTCTCTCTCTCTCTCTCCCTCCCTCTCGTTGAGAGGATGCCTCTCACCTTTGAGATCCTTTTCTCATCTGCCACGCGCGCTCCCCCCCCTCTCGTCGTGCAGGCAAAGGTGCCCATCGTCGGCGTCGCGCTCACCGCAGGCGAGGCGGCCTTCGACTTTGACAACTGCCAAGACACTTCCGAGACACTTCCGAGACACTCCCTAGGCGAGGCGGCCTTCGACTTTGACGGCGCGGGCCTCTTCCTGGAGGGCCTCGAGTCGACGCTCGACGCTGCCAACCCGGGCTCAAGCGCCGTCCTCACAAAGGCCGGGGTCCGGCTCGCCGACGCGTCGCGCGTGCTCGCGAGCACCGTGCCGCACGTCATCTCGATCGCCCTCAACCAGGGCGCCTCTCGCAACGTGCTCAACGCCACCCTCGCCGACATCGTCGAGGCGTGCCGCGCCGCGAAGCCGCTCGCGCCCGCCGAGCCGCCCGCGCGGGGAGAGTTCTCCGGCCGCCGCACCCCGCCGGGCCACGAGCCGCCGCTCGCGGCGCGGCTCGAGGCCGCCTCGACGCTGCAGCGCTTCTTCCTGCGGCTGCGCCTCGCGCGTTGCTCGCCGGAAGAGGCGGAGCGCACCGGCTTGCAGAGAGGAGATGCGGCTCCGGACGCCGATCCCGCCGCTCGCAGAACGCTCTGACGCGCCCTCGTGCACGCACTTCTCTCCCCTCCACTTTTCAATCCCACCTCTCGTCTTGGGTCTACTGCGAGCCTCGCACACAGACCCACACGCACCCGGCCGCACCCGGCTCGGACTCACATTGCATACACGCTGTTTTGGTCTGTTTTGCGGCGCGCACCGCACTGGGACTGGCCACTGCGCGAGTGCGCGCCGCGGCGCCGGCGGTCGGGTGGGTACGGCTGTACGCTAGTGTGGGGACTGTGCGGGTACGGCTCTAGAATCGTGTGTAGTCTGTAGAAAAAAAACGGACGCCGATGTACATACTATAGCCCAACTCAGCGCA